TCGTGGCCGCCACAGCACACTTCATGTTGTAGGTTTCAAGTATTGTCTTCTAACAGCCGCTGTCATTCTGCAGTCATCTTCCGATCCCGAGGACACTTGTGAAAAGCGACCCCATCGAGACCGTAAGTGCTGCGGCAACCATATGCCGCGCAGTAACTCGGCATCGCTAGTCCACCTCAACTTTGCACAAACACTACTAGTAAATGTCGGATGGCGAAAATCTCTAATCAGAAGAGAACAGTGCAATGGCGAGAAATCCCTACGAACTGGCAAAACTGATACATCGCCATGCAGCAGATCGCAACAGAAACAAGGCACAACCATGAAGTAAACAAGCTGAACTGAGTGAGCAACGCAGGCAAACCAGGCAGCTTTTGCCCACCGGGCATGGCTTTTTGACGTCACTTCCCCACGTGTCTTTTTCTCGTATGCATGAGCCTAACCCGTATTCATTAGCCTTATCCTTATGACTTAAGTCAACCTTTGCCTGAGTCCACCCTTAACGCGTTTCAAGAACCTACCTTGTCCTTTTCGCGGAACTTTCCTCGTACTTGAAGGCCAACTCCGGCGATTTTTCGACCATATCAAGGTAATGGTGTTTTTATGTTCCCGAGACACTCTAGTCACGAGTCCAATAGCTCAAATGCTCAGGAAATTTGAAAATCATTTTAATAAGCGAAAATGTGCAAAACCGAATACCGAAACTTGACAGGGATCCCTGTCTGCGTATGACGTACTATTTGGTAAAAAACGGAAGCCGGTATACTGGTTCCGCCAGCGCGTAGTTTGAAAACTGTGAAAGCCAGACCAGCGAAGCGCTGGCCAAACACCACAGAAGAAGGAAGAAAGCTTTCCCGTGCTATACCCATGTCAAACGCTTCCGCCGTCGCCTTGTCGGCAGCGCAATAAACGTTTTCGCGGCCAAAATAGCAATGCCATCAGCTGCGTCACTTCCGTTGACATGCCAAACATGACGTTGCACAGACAGTGTTGCCAATAATTCTGGCAAGCAAAATAAGTTTTCGATGCAATCTTTAAAATTCATTTGCAAACGTCAGCGCATATCTCAAGCCTGTAATTTAGCATAAGAGACCTAAATGGGCCAAGGAACCTAGAAAAATCTCCTAAGTTGGTCTTTAGGTAAGGCTCGGTTAAGGTAGCATATGACCTACCTTAAGGCTTCCTTAAACATAATGGTGTGGGACGGCAACTTTGAGCATTCCGTTTATTATGTGAACCACGCAGAAGAAATATTGAACGGGACAGCGTACGCGTACACTCTAAGAAACGATCCAGCTCAATGAGGGAGTAACGTAAACTTTAGTCCCTAAATCGCATTGTTAGTCTCCCAAAAGACCAAGTGTGGTGAAGGGCGTGTCGTGTGCGAATTCGGAAGACTAATCCCTCGAGTAGAGGCTGAAAGGATGAAAAGACGTCTTTTATACAGCCCTTGCTGTGTGGACGGGTCAGCAGCCTTTCAAAGGTCTGGCTCACGGGTCAGGTGCGCCCCATTTTTTCTGAAACCGACCCTTCTACTTTGTCGGGGTGAGGCGGAGGACTGAGGGGTAAAGAATATGAAAAATGCATGTTCAGGGGTTCAGTGAACTGATGAGAAGGCCTCCTCAGCCCACTTACAGCTGCGATGAAGAAAACAACGTGAGATAAAGAATAATTTATCGGGGAAGAATATTGCGCCGACCTTCATAATGATTTGAAACGTAGTTCAATAAACTTCGCAGTATTTACTAGCGGGGACAATCATGTAAGTCTAGCGGACATTTGAGCACGTATGCTGTGTATCCATCTGCGCCAGACTTCTACGGAATCGCTCACAGTCACTGCAGTCAAGAGTGCGGCTCGTGTTTGTCATTCGTGGTGACTTTTTTACTCTGTTTCCGTGGAAGGCGAGTGCTGCTTCAGAGGCTATTGACGTAGCTGTGAAAAAATATACTTCGTCACATGTGCTGAAATTGCGGACGCGCGTGTAATCGTGTTTCTGTGGAACGGCTGTTCAATGTACTTAACACCTCCACTTTCCTGTGAAGAAATGAACACACCAGCTTGCATGCAGGGCTCCTTCAGGCTTCTCTTCTGCAAACCTTCAATAATGGACGCCGTCACCTTGAAGTGTGATCATTTTTTGGATTAACTGGCTCTGGAAATGACGTGCGTCTGTTAATTTTCAAGGTAAGTTTTTCATTTTTGTCACCTTGGCACATTAGATAATAGTGTGAAAGCTGAAAAAGCACTGTGCGCGGTATCTTTTAGCATGTTTTATGAGCTTGTAACTGCGTAATTATTAGGGCTTCGGTTATTAGGTCGTAGTTTTCTAGCTGGTTTAGTTTTATAAGAGATTTTTTGTTCTATTTTTCGCAGGTAAGAGGGGGCGACAGCCGACGGCGAACACCGCTTGTGCGCATCACGCACTGTTTGCGGAAAATAAAAGTGTCCAGCATGAAATTGTCTCTGCCATTTTTCATTCCAACACACATTCACGAGTGTAGTTCTGAGTAAAGCGCGGCTGAAATGAGCTATCATATCAATCTGGATAAGATGGCCAGATGAATAAATAGTGGATTAATCATAGGTCCCTAAAAAAACAGTTCAAGAGGATTAACTGCTTATCCCGAAGGATTGATATGTGGGGTTTAACGTCCCAAAACCACTATATGATTATGAGAGACGCCGTAGTGGAGGGCTCCGGAAATTTAGACCACCTGGGGTTCTTTAACGTGCACCCAAATCTGAGCACACGGGCCTACAACATTTCCGCCTCCATCGGAAATGCAGCCGCCGCAGCCGGGATTCGAACCCGCGCCCTGCGGGCTTATCCCGAAGGAGTAATATTCACTCTCCAAAAGTTCATTTCTCTTGATCACAGTTAGTTCTTACGAGAGTAACATTTGCTTCATCGGGGACCATTTCCGAAAATCAGCTGTTTGTTCTTGCAGGAGGAACCATTAGTCCTCTCAGGAACAACCATTGGTTCTATTGCAATTAATCCCTCAAGCACTAACTATTTATCCGCTTGCAGTTGGTCCCCAAAAGGACGAATAGTTGTAGCAAATCAGTTATTCTCCAAAAGCAATTACCTCCTTACCCATTTTAGTCCTTTTTCTAGAGTGTCCACGTCACCGCTGCGGCGATTCCTCAACGATTGATGGAACCTGGTTGAGACCTATGACAAGCAGAAATTTTCGTGCCACCCCCGGTCAACAAAAAGTGACCATGAAGATTCTGCACGCTGTGCTGTTTCTGCAGGAAAGTATCCAGTCCATGGTCTTGGGTTCATTATGCTTCGTCTTATGCAGCTGCTAATCACATCGCGCTTTTATGGAGTCGGCACGTTTCAACATGAGAGCGATGAAGCTTTGTCAGTGTCTCGTAACCGACCGTGTCACGAAGATACAGTCGAGCGCATACCCACTATGGTCGCAAAAGCACTTTTTCCCGTGCCGGTAACACTTCTCGAAGTGGCGAAAGCACTTCTCTATATAGTTGTTTGGTCAGCCGTTCACAGATGCACCTTGGGTCGGCTGTTGAATTCTATCACGAGCTGCTTCAGTTTTTTTGTTTTCTTTGAATGCACACAGCGTCCACCACGGTAGTTGTTCACTAAATCTGTCAGAACGTAGCCACTTCGTCGGTGAAGTCAACTCCAGTGAACCGTTCCACGATAAATGAAACTTCGTAAGAAACGTGTAAAATGGCGGAAATTATCAAATACTTCTACTGAAATTTCAAAAAAAATTATATAAAACAGCAAACGCCGAAGCGAGCACGATAACACCACCGAACTATAGTCGCTAGACACTATAACCGAACACAGTAGAAACATACAAGACGTCGAAATAACAAAAGTGACCCGCGTCGACGGGAGTTGCAAAATTGTGGCCAGGCGAAAAACGTGTATTTTACCAAAAGCTGCCAGTGCCTCATGGAGGAAGCAAAAAACTCCGTGCAGTGCCTAAAGGAACATTGCTACTGTTTGTTTGGCTGCTTCTGTCCATACTGTTGTTGATTTCTTGGAGTAAAGGCAATTTATTGCTGCTCAAGGTAATAATTTTGTAGCGAAACTTTACCTACCCTCCTCGCACCCAGGGGCTATGCTCGACTTTATAAGAACGCCTTTTACAAGGTGCCGTTATGACAAGATAAAGGAGGTTTCTGAAACGCACCTTGTACATACTTTTCTTACACTTATAATTTTCTCGTCCTTTCGTAACTTTCCTTACCGCCATAAGTCAAGGTCGGTTCGTGAATACGGCGGTATCTCTCCCTTGCTCCGCCCCTACGCGCGCGCGTGCCGGGAAGAGGGGGGGGGGGGGGAGGCATTCCCTTGGTCAAAGTTCGCTCGCTTATGGCGGTGTTGTTTAATAAAACCACACGAAAAACCCTTTGTAGACATGTTGTAACAGGCCATGGATATTGAATTCACGATAAATTCGCGAATTCGAAACCTCTTCAGTTTTTCTTGAACCACGTTGCTTCTGGTTTTTTACCCTACCCGGGGGAAAGGGAAATGGAAGGAAAAGAACAGAGAATTGAAGAAGGAAAAAGACGGAATGTAATACGCTTACAAGCCTAGTACCGTGTAGCGCGCATGCCCAGAAGGTCATAAAGCTGCAAACTGCCATCGGGAACATGTTCACTTAGACTGTCATAAAACGAGTGTACTGCAATCCACGATGTCAGAGGAGGCTTACAAGGACTGACTCCAAGGTATTCATAACTTGCAGAGCTCTTCTAGGTAACGGTGTTGTCAATCCGGTGAATATTGTGCGCATTGTGCGAATCAGTTGCCTCAACTTATCCTTAGTTGCATCTTGTGCCCTCTCTGTGGACGCCTGAAAGTCAACGTCACCTTCACACGCTGTGTATGTTGTGACAACACGGACATGACCAGTACTCACAAGTGTCATTAGTTATTATTTCAATTATAATGTCTCGTTTTAATTTGTGGGTGTTTAGAACCTAAAGCACAACATTATTCGATCAAATACGGAACAAATGAGCTTACAGTATATTTGTTGCAAAAAAAAATGGCGACAACTTTCGATGGGCAATTACCAATCGCCTGAAATGTTACTTGACGGCTTAGTCAGTACAGAAATGAAGTGCACGCATCGGAAAGCTCCTGGAAGTCAATGATCATAGGGTGTTACTCTGCGGGTGCAATCATATAAAGGGTTAAAGTTTCTCGATAAGTATGGCGGAGCCACCTCCACCACCATTGCAGGCGGCAGCAAGGCCATACTGTCCCTGCTTCAGATGAAGGGCCAAGCGTCCTGTGATCCTTGCACCAGACGCCCTGAAAAGAGATGTGATTAGGAAACTTCAGATCTCGCTTACACAAGACTTTAATCTGCTCTCAAGAAGTAATTAATTTTACAGACACAATGCGCAGTTGGCTGAGTAAATGCTCAGAGTTTATTACGGGTTTAAAAATTCAAGAATGAAAGTTTCGGCCTGACGTGAGGCGCCTTAGGGAACTCGACATTTCTTTTTAGATGCGAAGCAGCTCAGGGTTGAGCTTCATCTGGTATGTGGCGTGACCGCCACTACTGTGCCTGTGCGTCAATTCCTCGCCTCTTTCCTCTATTACGCCACCCTCTCGTCGCCTCGCAACGGCGACGCAGGCAGCCTCCTCTAGCCTACGCTCACTCCAACCACCGTTTTCTCCGGGAATTCCTGAAGCCCCTTGATCTTAAGGCATTCTTACCCGCGCAATGTATCCCCCATTGTGAATGCAAGTAACCTCCCCCTCAATCCTACACTTTCCTACACTTTCTCTCTTGCCTCGCAACGCCGAAGCAGGCAGCGTCCGCTTGTGAATTTCCTGATAAAAAAAAGAAAAAAAAAACTTGGGCCATCTCCCCGAAGGGAACCCAGATTGGATGCGATGCAGCAGGGTTGCGCACGGGTGGCGTCAAGGGTAGAACAGCGCTAACGCAGGTGCTGCGGTGAGCGCTGGAGGATTCATTTGGGGAGATGGCTGGTGTTAGGCCTTGTAGATGACACGTACAGACATGTGTCATCGCGTACGTTAGGCACGCGTCAGGTTGATTGTGCGTGTACTGACGAGTTGGGGGTGTAGCGAGCGGAGGTCACTGCACGTGTTACGGGCGAACAGACGAGGCGGCAGCTGCGGGCGCCGCAGTGAGCGCATAGCGGATGCAGGATAGAGGGACGTCTATGTGCACTGCGAGGGAAGCATGACGTCAACGCGCAGCAGTGGTGTGAACTACTTGGCGCCGCGCCAACACCTGTGGCGCTACGGAGGGACAACGTTACACAGCTAATCACAAAACTGATACGCATCTAAAAACCGACTGCTCACGCTGCACAACCGTCCACTGGCAACAGCGTATATATACGTACTAAATCTTGACCTCCTAAGTAGTGCCGGTGGGAGATTTCTACCGTGCTGTTTAACAGTAAAAATTCGCCGCGTGGACATTAAATAAAAGCGGACTGCGGGTCTTCGCATGGTTCGCTTTAGCGGGAGATGGTGTACTTTTTTTCAGTGGGCAGTACTTGTATAGTGCTACTTTCAGTACTCTGTTGCGTTATCCCAGTCTCTCTGCTTTTTTTTTTTACTTTTACGCCTATTTTCCAAGTACATGGTAGCTTAGTACCCGTTTATCCTTTACCATTTCCTCTTCCCATTTTCACTAAGATACGCGGTAGTTAAGAGATGTCATTGCGACTAAGTTTTTTTATTGATTTCATAGTTTTAGAATAAGCCAAGTTGGTTATTTTGATCGTGATTAATTATTATTACACAAGGGCACACCTTTTGGCTGCAATAAGTTTTCTTTTGCACAGAACGGTGATAAACTTTTCCTCGCTTGATCTTAACAAAATACTCGCTCTCTTGTGAAATAATGATGTGTAGTTGTACAAAATAGATAGATAAAAATAAAACGCTCGAACAAGCGCATGCATTGACGCATTCTTTTCTCGAATGTACTTTGCTCTGCTGTCACATTCTAAAACCTCAGCCTACCCACTCTAAGCTCCCATTCCGGTCATCTTGATAACAGCCTTCATTGAATAAAGGCACATGTCGTGAAAACGGTTTTTTTTTTTCGATTGTATTTGACAATTTCAACAGGACCTAAAGTAAATCGCTTACCCAATCGGATGTCCAAGGCTGACTGAGCCTCCGTGAACGTTGACCTTCGAGTGGTCCAGATTGAGGTGCTCCATGTTGCACAGCACCGCGGAGCTAAAAGGTTCATTGATTTCAAACATGGACACATCTTCAGCTGTCAAGCCAGCCTCCTTCAAAACCTGTAGAAAAGCAACGTGGTTTACTAAAAAAAGCGCTATGAGCAATTAGGCTGCGAACAAACGTTACTTGAATGAACTCAGTTTCAAAGTTACGTATCTACGCCAGCGGAAGAGGGTGGTCTGAACGGCGATTGCGAAAACTTGCAGCGCTGCAGTCGCGGATTGCATCTTGCGCTACTCTCGGTGCGTCTTCTGCTACGGCTTCGTGCCGCGGCGCCTTTCTATTCGTACTCCTGTCAAACCTAAACATTTATCATGCTTCCAGTCGACATTTCCGTGTCACATTTGTGGACTGATCATGCGAATACGCACAAGGTCACCTGTATGCATTGAGTCGGATACGTTGCTGACTTGACTAAGAATCGATGCCCAGCCTTTATTTCATCTCTATACATTCTGACCTTTATTAGTAACAGTTTCAAGTTTATTAGTAACGAAATAGCGGTAGATAAAATGACGGAGACGTTTCACGGACTTAGGTTCTATAGCCCGAAGACTGTGGGGGCGGAGGGGGGAGGTCACGATAAAGAAAGCATGAAAAAAATACAAAGACAAAGGCAAAAATGTAGCATTAACAAAATAATGTTATAAAAACATGAAAATATAGGGAAGGGATAAAACATAGTAATAAAGACAGCCACAACAATACAATCACTAAATCACAATTCAATAAGGACCACATATAATAGGTTCTGTGGATAGAAAATATGATTTCAAAGCTTTTTTAATGTATACAGGTTAGCTAAACACGCTATTTTTGGTAGAATAGAGCTGCATAAATAAATGGCTGTGAATGACAATGACTTTATGCCGAAATTAGTGTAAACTCGGTGCAGTAATGAACTTTGTTCTATTGCAGAAAGGGTGCGGTTAGTGTTATTAGTAAGTCAGAGTTGATGAGGTCAAAGGGTAGCCGATGCTTAGTTAGATGACATAACAAAGAAATAAAATGAAAATAGATAACTTGCTAATACACAAAATATTATGTTTTATAAGTGAGGAAATGGTGTTTGCATGACGAGAGCAGAAAGTGATAATGCGGATTGCTTGGTTCTGTATGAGTTGTACAGATGACATTTATAAGTGATAGGTGTTCGGTCAGGTAGTTATGCCATAGTTAAAATGACTATGGATGAATGAGAAGTAGGGTGATAATATTGCATTAGTGGAGAATAATAACCTAGCTTTAATTACTGCTCGAATACCAAGAGCAGTCTTTTGTCTTTTCCTTTGCGTCTAACAAGTGTGGACCAAAATTAAAACTAATGCCTAAACGTACACCAAGAAAGAAAACAGTTGCACAAGCGTAGGTAGTATTATGGCCCATCGTTATAGCAGCATGAGCTACCGAGTGTTTTCGAGAAGATATAAAAACATTGAACTAAGTTTTATATGGGTTTATAGTTAGGCCATTATTGTTACACCATAAAACGGCATTGCTCAGTACAGAGTTTAGCTTTTATACCAAATATGGAACTGGTTTAGCCTTACATGATACTGTGGTGTCGTCAGCATGCGAAATACAATGTGCAGAGGATACGGACGTCAGGTAGATCATAATATCAATCATAAGTAGAAGAATGGACCCCTGCGGAACACTTTAATTAGTAATCTTAGTGTAAGAGTAAGAGCCACGTGTAAAGACATTTTTTTCGGTGAAAGAGGTTACTTTTCAGAAAGTTTAAAGGTGGTACAGTAAGACCTTGAGAATCTAACTTATTGAAAAGAATTGAGTGATTGAGCGTGTGAAAGGCTTTAGTTCCAAAAAGTCTGAACCTGGAAAGTTACTGTTGTCAATAGATTGTTTTATGAAGTCTGTCAAAAAAAGCAGGGCATAGTGGAGCTCCTATGATGAAAACTAAACTAGGGAAGGTTTCATATTATTAAGTGTAGAAAGGAAAGCAACAACATATTTCAAAGATATGTTCAATTAGTTTACCTATTCATGGAAGAATCAAGGTAGGCGAGATAGGCCTATAATGTTTATCATTGTCACGGGGCGAAACGTAGACGAAGAAAGCAGACTGCAGGTCGAATAATAAACTGTTGGTTTGGGCCGAACTTGTGCCCACGCAAAAATGAAGTCAAATTAAAGCAAGACACTGGCACTAATAGCGGCGAGCAGAACGTGGGCCGTCGATCAACCGACTAGTGGTGAAGTGGGTCGGCGTTTATACACGTGCCGTCGAACATTGTAACGTTATCGCTTGAGGCCGCGTAAGATCCAGAATCATCTCTAATGTTAGCGAAGTAGCCGTAATCTTAACAAACCGATCTACCACAGTGTCGATGGTTCTATAACTTTGTAGGTGCAATTAGCGCTGAACATAGTGTAATGGGGCGATAACAAACTTCAGGAAGGAATGTGGCATGGCCCCCCTCTGAACAGGCGTTGTTCCCGATGCTTTAACAAATGATGAAAGTACAATACTCAAGCTACAAAAAGAACAATAGGTAAAACCAATTAACAGAAAATGCAGTCCTCAGGTTCACGAATGAAATGGCTTGAGGCGCAAGAAATGGACAACTTTAGGTCATGCACGGCGCCGATGCCGTCGGGAACAACCTCGTAGTCGAGTGGGCCGAGGCGTTGAACTAGCCTGTAGGGTCCGAAGTGCCGTCGGAGAAGTTTTTCACTGTGTCCACGTCTGCGTATCGCCGTGCACACTCAAACGCGTTCCCCGGGCCTGTATTCCGCGAAGCACCGTCGAAGATTGTAACGGCGGTTGTTGGTCACTTACTGATTCTTTATGTGCAGGTAGGTGAGTTGACGAGCTTTCTCCGCGTGCTGAAGGTAAACGGTGACGTCAAGCGTTTTTTCGCCAGTGACGTCTGGCAACATGGCCACGAGCGTCGTTCTTGGGTTCCTTCCCTTGGACCAACTGGTATAAAGACATCTGAGTTGTTTCCTGCACCGTTGTGTTATATGCGAAAGTCACGCACGGCAAAGTGGTTTGCCTCGTCTTGTGTTCGACGTCAACGTACATGGCCGGCATGTCGGCGATGGTCTTGTTTAACCGTTTGCTGAGGCCATTGGTCTGTGGGGGGTACGCTGTCGTCCGGTGGTGGCTGGCTGGTCTGGCTGTATGCCAAGATCACCTGAGTTAGGTCAGCTGTAAACGCCCTACCTCTGTCATTGATGAGGGCCTCTGGCGCACCGTGACGTAGGACGATGTTTGAAAAAAAGCATTTCGTTACCTCGGATGCACTGCAATTAGGCAGCGCCCTTGTCTCGGCATAGCGTGTTAGGTAGGAGTCGGTAGCGATGACGATTCATTTGTTTTCTAGAGTCAAGGTCGGAAATGGCCCTAGTATGTCCATGCCAATTGGCTGGATAGGTCTGCATGGTGGCTCAATAGGCTGTAGTAGTTGGACTAGTCGGTGGTGTCATCTGTCGCTGAGAATCTCAAAAAGTTGTAAAGAGCAACGTCGGCAGCAAGGCGAGGCCAGTGAACAATTTCTTGTATTCTAGTTAGCGTGTGGGCAGCACCTAGGTGTCTAGCTTTGGGTCGTCGTGCAGGACCTAGTAGTACTGATCGCAATGAGAAGGGAACAACGATAATGTACTTGGCTCGACGTGCCGGGAAGTTTTTTTTTCTAGTATACCCTTTCACAAGACAAACGAAGTCAGTGCTCGCTTAAATACTTTTGAGACAACGGCAGCACTGTCATCGAGGTATTTCATATGGCTTCTGAGTTCCGGATCGGCTCGTTATCATTCAAGGAAGTCATTGGCGCTTACGTTTCCCAAGAAGCAGCCAACACCCTAGTCATCCAGATATTGTGCAACGACAGGGGGCACGAGACAGGCAGTCGGCGTCGGAGTGCTTTCTTCCGGACTTGTAAATGACGGAAATGTCGAATTCTTGCAGTCTCGTGCTCCACCTTGCGAGAAAATCCGAACGGTCTGCGGTATGCCAGCTACCACAAGGTGTGGTGTTTCCTACAACTTTAAATGGCCTTCTGTAGTTGTAGGGGTGAAACTTTTATGTAGCCCAGATGATGGCAAGGCACTCCTTTTCTGTTGTAGGATAGCTGGCCTCTGCCCTCGATGGCGACCGGCTAGCATAACTGATGACTTTTTCCTGTCCATCAGTCCTCTGCACAATAACGGTGCCGAGTCCACCGCTGCTTGCGTCTGTATGTATTTCTGCTTCAGAAAGTTCATCCAAATGCGCAAGTAACGGTGGCGTCTGCAGGCGTCATTTTAGTTCTTGAAATGCTTCCTCCTGCGGCATTTCGTACTTGAATTCTACGTCGGACCTGGCAAGGTTAGTGAGTGGTTCATGCGATCTAGGTGAAGTTTTAGACTAACCGCCGGTAATATGCACGCAGACCGAGAAATTGGCGAACAGCCTTCTTTTCAGGGAGCGGCGGGAATGCAGCGATAGCGGTTGTCTTCTTCGGGTCGTAGCGTACTCCGGACTTGCTTACCACGTGGTCGAAGAAGATTATTTTCTCGTACTCGAAGTGGCACTTCTCTGGCTTGAGGGTGAGTCCGCAGGTTTTGATTGCTTGAAGTACAGCTTCAAGGTGCCGGAGGTGTTCGACGAAGTTTGAGGAGTACACAACGACATCGTCCAAGTACATAAGGCAAGTTTGCCACTTCAAGCCGGCCAGTAGAAGTATACATAACACGCTGGAAAGCAGCGGGGGCCAAGCAAGCACTAAAAGGCATCACTTTGAACTCGAAGAGGCCGTCTGGTGCTATAAAAGCTGTTTTCTATAGGTCTCTCTCCATCACACGCTGGAATGTCACTGGCACTGAGCAAAGACCTAAGGGCATGACCTTGAACTCGAAGAGGTCGTCTGGTGTAATAAAACAGTCTTTTCTTGGTCTCGCTCGTCTACTTCGATTTGTCAGTAGCTGGTCTTGAGGTCCATTGACGAAAAATGTCTCGTGTTGTGGAGTTGGTCGAAAGGCGTCATCTATCCGTGAAAGAAGCTACACATCTGTCTTTGTGGTTTTTTTCAGGTGACGCTAATTGAAGCAGAACCGT